TTGATAAGAGACATGAGAATCTTACAAACCAATTTATCTTCTTAAAAATTCTTCTCCCAAAGAGCTGAAAGCATTTGATATTACAAAGGAATTCATGAAAGGTCATGAATAACTTTCATCATCTTTCTTCTTCAAGCTTTTAGGATGAGATGTGAGCAGCTAGACATCTACACCTTAGATGTACCTGAGAGAATCCCAAGCAACTTTGGCCATAACACACATCCTTATCAGCCTGACAGATCTTTATCAATTCTCTGGATAAAGATAAGAAATAACTTAACCTATTCTGGCTTCTAAGAGCAGTTCTTTCTTTAGCCTTAACACCAAAAATATCAACTATGAACTGTCATAGTTCTTCCATCAGAGGCATATGCAACATAAGACAAATCAAAATAGCCTCAACATACTCCAGGAAAGATTGTAGGACATCTTGTAGGACATCAAGCATAAATATAACCAACAATAGTTATAACAACATAAACATACAAACAACCATCAGTAGTTGTTGTAACATCAGCACAACTCGTCAATAACTATGACATAAAAAATCAACCATCAGTAGTTGTCAACAACATCATTGTAACCATAAGTAGTTATAACATCAATACAACCATCATTAATTGTGAAAGCAGTAATATCAACAATAGTTGTAATAGGCTCACAGAAGCATCAGACAACCATCAGTAGTTGTCACACTGAATCCAATAATGGTATCATCCTAGCCTTCCAATAGCCAAATAGTACCAGAAAAATACTCCCTAAAGCTCACCCAATAGACATACCAGGAGGCCTGCTCTGATGCCAATTGAAATTTTAGCACTATAATAACAAAAGTCAAGATTGATGTCTCAACAATACAAAATGTCACGACAGATGTTATAACATCTGCTGACAAGAAAACATACTTGCTGAAAACAAAAAGATTGTGTAGAAAAGTAAATTGTAGAAACTTAAAGAACACAGTCAATTGTTAACCTAGTTTCGTGCAACATCACCTACATCTGGGGGCTACAAAGCCAGGAAGGAAATCCATTATAATAATATTAGTTTAAAGCCTAAAAAATCTCAGTTTACAACCTCTCTCCTAATCACTAACCCATGCAACTTCTACCTAGAAATCACCATCTAGATATGAGAAATACCATCTCACTTCCAATCTCTGTAGTAATATTCCTACAACCACAAACCTTGTGACAAGACTTAAACCAATCACAGTCACAATGATGCTATAAAAGAACAACACTTAAAATCAACAATACTTAGTTAAGACTCTTAACTAAGAACAATAATTGGTGTTGCTTAAAAGCTTCAACCAAGAACAATAATCAACTCATTACTTAAAGGCTTCTGAGTGGGAACATTGCGTATACCACAAGTATCAAAAGATACAAGGGTGACTTACAAACACAAGTACACAAGAGACTCTCAAAACCTAAGACTTAGACTTCCCCTAATTTTACAATTGTGAAAAGTTATTTTTCATTAGGTCTAGGTCTTCCTTTAAATACTCCTCAGTGATTCATGGACCTTGAATCCTCCCCAAGATATTCCTTGTTGCTCAAGCTAAGGGCTGCACCATTTGTGCAGAAAAATCTCCTTAAATCTTGGAACAAATAATACCAAGTTTCCTAAATTGTCTCAAGGCCTAATTTAGTAACTTATGTACAGTTGGAGATACAATCAACTATTCCAGATTAAATATTCTTGACCTGCGAAAATCAGTGAGAAAATCCGAAAGGAATCTCATAAAATCAATTTAAATCTTGTCAAGAATAAACACAGTCTGTACTGATGTTCGGGTACAAAATGTCACAACATCTGTCAGAACATCCGCCTTCAAATGAGCATGACCAACATGTTAGAACATCTTCCATAACATTATGCTGCAAGCCATATTTAAGCAAAATTATGTCAATCCTAAAATATGGTACTGACACATTTGAATCCAAGAAAACCAATATTTTTTGTAGTCTGACTACATTACAACCTGATTAAAAGACCTTAGTGACCCGTGACTAATTGCATACTTTGTGATATTGTTTAGAAAAAGTACAAGATTAATTTATAGTTTATGCATTGTCTAAAGAATTAAGGGATACACTAACCTGTTGAGTGATACTAAGTGAGACCATCATTCTCTGATTGAAAATTGACTGTTAATCTTAACAGTTTTGAAATCATACTTTGACTAAACAAAGTTATCATCTTTATTCTATGCTTTATGGCTAATTATGACATTGATTTTGAAATTCATATAAAGGAATCATGCCAAGTTACAATAGTTTTTCAAAAGTCTGATTAAGTCATCAACCTCATATGACATATGGAGGCTGAGAATCATTTTCCAAATCACATAGATTTTGTTTAAGGATAAACAAAAAAAAAGTTTGAGAGAGTCGATAAGTGCAAAATTTACTTGTTTTACATAAGCACTTATTGACTTAAATTACAAGTAATCACATGAAACAACCCCACTTTATCATGAAAATTCCATAAAATACGTGTGTGAGATTTTTAACTATGTTATTTATAAGAACAAGTGAAAATGCTTAAAGAAATCCTAAAATATCAAGCAAAGGGGAAAATACCTTGCTAGGCGAAACAAGGGCAACTTGGCGAATCAAAGGCGACAAACTCACCAAGCAAACCTAAATCATGCTTGACCAGATGTAGGGCACCACATGTAGAGATATATTTGTTAAACGAAGAAGTTATTTCACTGGGCGAGTTAAAGGAGGACAAAAGAACTCAAAAATTTTCTTCAAGACCAAGTTACATCATACTGAAGCAAAAGGTTTCTCACTAGGCAAAAATGACAATCTCACATAATGAACTAAGGCAGTTTTAGAAATTCCTTATAGACTAAGTAACTTCAAGGTGAAGGAAGATTGTCTCTCTAGGAAAAAATAGGGCCTCACCTAGTGAAGTAAGGCGACGTAGGCCACTTGAATGAGCTGGAAAACAACTTGTGTGGCAAAAAGACAGCTCGCTAGGTGAGCTAAAGGTCTCGCTAAGTGAGACCGCTGCTACAAACCTCGATAAATATTTGTTGGAACCATTCATTTAGAATAGTTTTGATAGTGTATTTATATTTCATTTTCCCCAAAAATACGTCAATAACAACAAGGGAGAAAGAGAAAGAAGAAGATTGACGATAAAGCATTGTCCAAGAAATCAACACAGTTGATATTCAACTTCTTTCTTCTAGGTTATAAGTGTACAACTATTATGAGTTAGAGTAACTAATTTCTATTTTGTTAGGGTTAAATGTAGTCATTCGAATATCCATGTATCAATCTTCATCACGGAATTTTATGTAAATTTAATTATGATTTAATATTGATGATCATCTTCATGCTTAATGATTGTTTTAAAGTAGCTAACTAGAACATATTTTAATGATTTTGGAATGATATTGAGAAATAATTTTCATCATTATATGAAAGATTGTCATTTTCTAGATGCTAAAGTCTAGATATAGATTTAGGTTTAACATCCACATATATTGTCGAATCTTAATGCTATTGTATTGCTTAATAGGTTGAGAGATAATCATTTAGGTAATACGATTTATTTTATGATGCTGATTTAGAGATAAACAACAAACGTAAATCGATAAGTGGTAATATTAATTGCTAATAAAAAATGCATATTACAGATCACGATAACACATGAATATATGACAATGAAATCTAACCCTAACAAGCTTTCTCATCGATCAAAACTCCAATCTTATTTACCGTCATTTCATTATTAAGTTCTTACCACAAATAACATTTACAACCCTTTTTTAAAATCATAAGAACTATTGAACGACTTTTGAAATCACATCAGTCCCTATAGAGGCGATAATCTAAATACTTACTTATCTTTTATTGATATGATACATGAACAAGTATCTATTACATTCTTTATATTACATCTCCTACTTCTAGAGAAACTCTAACAAAGTTACAATTACTAAACCAAGTACTTGAGTTCTAGTGGGAAATAAGCTTCCACTAAGGATGAATCGTTCGAGTATTACTCGAGTTTGATTCTTGGTGGAAACAAGGCTTGACCAGTGAGTCGTTCCTTTTAACCATGAAACCAAATTAACCGGTTTACTATGTGGATGGACGCTGGTTGGCTAAACCAAAAAAAAAATTACAATTACTATTTTGGTCATCATATTTTATGTGCGACATTTCACTAACTTCATAACTAATCTATATCACTAAATCAAAATGACGGTATTTAGTATAGTCTCGCCTCCTCATCAAGGTATTTTTCATCGAGATCAGATCCAAGATGAAAATTCAACTTTCGACTCAACAACTCTAATATTATAATAATTCATGCCCACCTTTAAGTTTTTCGAGCCCTTATACAAATTAGTTATGAGTTTAACTTTGTCAAAACAAACATAAACTACTTAGTTATGATTTAAAAGTGAAAAATTACTTATGAAACTCTATTTAATTAGGTTTTAACCATGATAAATTTTAGATCACATGCTATAAAGATATACACCTTTAAAGACATAACACCTGTTACTATTTTAGTTACTATATTTAAACATTCACTCACGTTTTAACCAATCTATACTTTTAAATTTATATTTTTTTTTATATAATCGAGTGATTCTCTATATGCAAAATCAAAGATTTCTTGAGGCGGAGACTACAATAAATTATAAAGTTCTTTATGAAATTCAAAAGATTTAACACGATTACATTCTAAAAGTTGAATTTGCATCCCTTGCCATTTGTCACCGATTTATATCCCGAAACCAAAACGACATCGTTTAATTGCATTTCGTAAGTACATCGAGATCAAACCCGAGATCCGAGTTCATATCCGCCCGAACTATTATAATAAAATAACAAAGCAAAAATATTTATTTTTTTCTAGAATAAATAGACCTATACCGAAATCTCAATCTCATTATTCTTCTTTCTTTCTCTTGTTCTTCTTCTTCAACTCGCGACAGAGCCAACAATCTCTCTCTGTGCGCAACAATGCCAGCCCAGAAGCGTGCCTTACCTGAGTCAATGGAGGATGAAGAAACTTCACAGCATCTTCACTATTCTCGCCATGTCAAGCATCAACCGAACAACCGCGACCCAAACTTCATCGACCAACAGCATCAACTCGAACAAGAGGAAGATGAAGAAGACGATGATGATCAGCAAGAGCAAGACGAGGAGGAGGAGGAGCAAGGGGAGGAAGATGAAGATGAAGAAGAGGCTGAAGAGGATGATGATGATGAAGATGAAGATGAAGGGCAGCACCATAACGACGATAAGGAAAAATCACAGGGTAATTTTTCAGCTTATGTTTGAAGATTTTTCTCGTTTAGATTTTGTATCACATGGTTTTTCTTTGACCCAATTGGTTTTTGTGAACTGGGTTGAAGTTTGTTTTGGTTTTGCGTTTGTTCGTGTTCTAAAGTTTTTATCTTTGTGTATTCTCAGATTCCGACGAATCCCCTTCTTCTGACTCTGAAGAAAAACCTGAGTACTTTCTCTTTCTCTCACTCTTTCTTATGCATTGCTTCTTAACTTCTGCTTCGTACTTTTTTTAACTAGATTCATGTCTTGTTTGTTCCTGTGGGTGTGTGTTTCTTCTGAGGTTGATGTTGGGTGTGAATTTCGCTATTTGTGTGTTCGCATCGTTGAATTGATGATATATGACACTGTCATTTGAGTTGTGATGTTTGTATTTTCTGAATCTCGTGTTATTTGATTCGTCAATGTTGTTTGCATGTTTTGATTATAGTTGTTCTTGACTTAGTCTGTTACTTTTCCTAGCTTTGGATTAAGTATCGATCAACATCTACGATATCATTCGTCGGGAGATGGATGAATTCTTTGTTTAGAGTGTGTCATGCTATAGTTGCAGATGTTGAACTTTACTGATCTTGGAACTTGTTAGGTTAAGTAGAGTTCAAGATTTGCGTATCAGAATCTTCTGAGAGTAACAATGTCAAATGGTTGTGTTGATTCGTACGGAAAAAGGTTAAAACCGTTTTTTTTGAAAGATTTTCATATACCATTTGGCATGGTTGCATTGCTCAAGTTTTGAATATCATATAATGTTTTTAGAGCCTCGACTCAAATGAACTCCTGCGCATGGTGGCTATAGGGGCCAAAACGTGCATCTTTTGCTGAAGAAAGGTTTTAACATCAGAAAATGAGTTCATGAACTCCTACACTGTTTGTCTTCTAAAACATTGAAATTCATGATAGTTTAATCGTTTATCATAATGCTAATGATTGGCATTCTTAATTTAACAGAGCATTTCAGGGTGAGTTCTTGATTCTCAAACTTAAACTTTATATGAAGATCTAATTGAAATATTAACTTCTCTTCATACATGCTGTTTAACTGTATGAGTTGATGTCTGGGAAAGTATGTTACCTTGTTGGAAAAATCTAAATGCTTGACTAATGCGGACTGTTGGAAAAACATATACTTATTTACATGATGCGATAGGAAATGATAATTCAGAATTTCATGTTGCTTTGGTTTATATTTTTTTAGGCAAAATTGCTCCGTCTTTCCTTGATGTTATTTATTTTCACCAGATTAGTCCTTTAAGTTTTTCTCCCAACTAGTTCCTTTACGTTTCGTAACGTGCTAACCAATTACCTTTTTATGAGTTTTCCGTGCAACACCGTTTAAAAATGTTTGTGTCTGTTTTGATGTTGACGTGCATTGAAGTTATACTGGAGTTCCACATTGCTGAGGTTTCCAGGTTGTTGGATGCATATGCGGTTGAAATCTGTCTTTTCTTTTTCTTGTAGAAACCATCATAGATAAGTTCATTGGACTTCTTAGTTTGCATTCATTAATCACTTAATACTTCAAACAAAGATGCATTGTATGTAATTCCTAACTCATGAATCATAGTTGTTAACAGTCTTGAAAGGGTGTCACTTATTATTCTGTCCAGTTTACATAAATATATCATCTATGCTTATTTTCTTGTTTTGCTCGCAGATATGTGTATGTAGAACTTCCGGATATTCGTAAAGATGTCCAATGTCCAATTTGCCTTGGTAAGTTTTTTTCCAAACTTGCAGCTTAATTTATGCTTGAATCATGATAAACATTTCCAAAAAGCTGATTTCTCGAAGACTGACCCAGCAATTTGTGTTTTAACAGGTATTATCAAGAAAACAAGAACTGTCATGGAATGCTTGCACCGCTTTTGCAGGGAATGCATTGACAAATCAATGCGACTGGGGTACGACACACGAATGATTCCACCTTATTTAAGTTCATTGTCTCTATTGTGCTTATTAGAAAATACTATATAATGTATGTATATATATCATCTCAGGAACAATGAATGCCCTGCTTGCCGCACACACTGTGCCAGCCGTCGCTCTTTGCGAGATGATCCAAACTATGATGCCCTTATTGCTACTTTATATCCAAATATTGAGAAGTATGAGGAAGAGGTATAACTTTACATGTTCACTACTTTGTACGAATATTGACAGAGTCTTGTTTACTTGCACCGTTTGTAAAATTTAACTTTGTGATGCGACTCTGTTCCATTGCAGGAGCTTGAGTTTCGTGAAGAAGAAAAGAACCGAAATAAGCAGGTCAATGTTTATTCCGTCATCATCAACATTATGTGATTTATTAAGTGTTGAAATTCTACCTTTTTTTCTGGCAGATTCAAGCTTCAATAGCGAAAGTATTTCAGCGGCAATCTGAAGCACTAACCAAAAGGCGTAAAGATAATACACCAAGTTCATTTGTGACAAGATCACAGCGGAATCAAAGAAACCTTCAATCCAGGAGACAAAATCAAGTTGCTGATATTCAAGGATCTGAAGAAAACGAGGAGGAAAATGGAAACAATGAAAAGGACTCGTCTTCTGGTGACGAGCGGGGTACAGAACTCCGACAGAGAAAACGAAAGAGATGGACCAGAGTTCGCTCCTCTCAGCCCTCGTCATCAATGGCAAGTCCTGATGGTGGAAGTGTGGAAAGTGATATGGATATAACTAGAGAAAATCGAGGAATTTCAAGGCAGGTGTCGAAACCTAGGAAGCTTACTTGGGGAAGAGGTGGTTTTAGAAGTAATACAAGACATGGCAGTGGTGGTGGTAGCAATAGCAAAAATTCTCGCAGTGGCCGAATGTCTAGATTGGTTGATTATCTCAAAAGCTTGAATGAAAACACCGATGAGGTATACATTATTCTCCTCTTTTTTTCTCCATTTAAAAACCGATGAAAATTATAGTTACTTACTACTTCGTTATTATTAAATTTGTATTCGTATTTCAATTCAATTTAACAAATAGAAGCTATATTTTTATTTACAGTTTGATGTTCATCTCATGTTTGTTTCTCCGGACAAAGAAGCTCCTACACCGAGTTTGGAGCAGCTTCACCTGTGTTGTCGACCAACTTTGTCTGTCAAGAACCTTTATGAAGTGAGATCATCCTTTTCTACTAATTGCTATTTTTCAGCACTAATAGCTTTTTTTACGAGTAGGAATTGTTAAAGCTTTGTTTAACTCTGCCTACCGGATGAAAATGATTGCATAATATGCTTTGTTAACGAAACAATGTCGTTTTCTTATGACGATTGTTCTGACATTTTTGTATTTTCTTTGTAGTATGTTGCTAGTCAGACACCTTTGACAGTTGAAGAAGTTGAGATACTGGCAGTTAAAGGATGCAGCAGTATAAACCGTGACAAGTCAACCGACGAGAAATCAGTCGTGGAATGTGATGAGCTAACATCACTGGTTATAGATCCACAAAAGGATGAATTGGAACTTCTGCAAGCTCATGAAACTGTGGCAGAGATTAGATCCAAATCTATATCTAAAAAGGGGCATTTGGTAAGTATTAAGGTGTTTTTTTTAACAAAGCATCGACACACGACACAGAAACACAATACACAATCACTAAAAATTAGTTAAACGTAATTACATGTGTCAGTATCATGTGTCAGTATCAGACATGTCTAAATGTCGGTGTTATTTAAGTAAATGCTAAACTCTTTTTTCTTTGTTTTTGTGGTGATTCAGATTCTGGCATATAAGAGGAAGGTGTAGGAGGAATTATAGTGTTGGTTTGGTTGGGAGAAGTTTGAGATGGACAAGAGTGCAATGAACTTCTTTATGTGTACATAATTTAAAGACCGATTGCCTGAAGTCTTTTTTTTTTTTATTTATTTTTAAAGTTGCATTCCATATAAAGTGAATAAAGTTATCCTATAGTTTACTAAATTATAAAACTTCCAATAATGTCATTTGTTGTATTTTAAATAATTTTAAGATGTGCCTTTTAAAATATTGGTTACAATTTCGAATTCATACAATTTTGTGTTCTTTACTTGGTATAGTTTTAAGAAATAACATTATTGTGACGAATTGCATCACATGTTTTGTTCTATCACGCTGAATCAAGTTTGTTATTGCATAATATCTTCATGATGTGGTTGGTAGGAATTTCGATTTCATCTAGCATTTGTTTAAGTCAAATTTATTCGTAAATACCTTGAGTCATAGCTTTGACTTGTGTTTATACATTACTCATATCCACATGTGTAGTAGTTCGTAGTTGATTTTCTGTCAATAGATTTGTTTGAATTTTATGTAGAAGTTTTTCTTTGAGGACTATCAAACTATAAACTAAAAACTATGATATTTTGTAGGCCAACATGATCAATTTTTAGAGCTAGGAAACAAAAGAGGGTATATATTACCCTTTCATATGGTGAATGGGCCTAGTGTTGGAAATATTGGTGTTTTGAATATAGATTTGGATTATGAGTTTTATGGTTTCTCTTAGCAAGCTCAAATGATTAAAAAAATAATTCAATGATGCTATTAATACTCATGGGTAGTTTACCTATGATAAATAATCAATGAATTATTTTGATGTACAAATAACAAAGAAAAGTTAAGTTTTTTTTTTGTAAGAGTTGGCCAACATTTTGTATTATATTGGGAAAAGTTATAGTTGTCTTTAGAGTTTGTACATATTTGTAGGATCTATTTGACAAAAAATGGGATGAGTAAAACAAATTTTTGGTTTGTGTCTTTTTCATCACATGTCTTGCCATGTGTATAATAAAATGCCACATATGAAAGTTCTATGCAATATATAATTCTCATGGCATAAATTCGCAGATTTTAATCATGTATTTATGCTTTTATAGTATGATAGTTAAACGTTTTTCATTCTCTTCTATTCAATTATAGTTTGGCACTGTTGGCCAAATTTAATATATGATGATAATCTAAGATTGAGGTTTTTCATTTTATTAAAGCGAGTGTTGTGGAGTAGTGGAAAGAAGTTCAAAGTGAACTAGAAATTTGTCAAAGAAATTTAGGAGTTAGGCATTTCGCTTACTACCACTTTCATCTTCAATTTTTGGATTGTATTGTTCATCCTACGTTTTCAACTAGTTGGAGATTGCTAGACATAATTATATATTAATTAGAATTAGTTAGTTAGTTACTTTTATTTAGTTAAAATTAGTTAGTTAGTTACTTTTATTTAGTTAAAAGTTGATGATAATTGTTATGGACCAGTCAAACAGTTCAAGAATACCGACCTAATTTGAAAGTCCAATAAAACTGATGAAATTTGAAGGTTAAAATTAAAGTTTTGCTTGTTTAAAGATGACAAACAAGTAAACTCTCGCCAAGAGATTGAACACTGAAATTTAGCGCCACACTCATAGCAACTGTTGGAATCAACCCATCAGCTTCTCACATTCACGTTGCGCTCATGAGAGGTGGATATAACCACGCTCATATATAAACACGATCACACACCACACAAAGGTACAATTTCATTCAATATTGTCAATTACACATCTGTGACTATACTGATTTAAGTGTTGAAGTCAATATTTTAAAAACGAGAGATTAAAAAGGATCGAGTGAGATTTAAAAGATCGTAACTCGAATATCGTAACACGGATCAGAAGATCCTACACACACGCACACACTTGCATGCGTGCCTGCACACATACGCACACACTTGCATGCGCGCCCACACACATATGCACACACGCACAAACACGTACGCGCACGCTTGCACAAACAAACACACACACACACACATCCACACACGCACCACACACACACACACACACGCGCGCACACACAGACACAAATGCACGCACACACATGCACCACATACACACGCACACAAGCACGCGTGTGCACACATACACACACTCACACGCACCCACGCACACGCGTACACACACCTGCACATGCGTGCACACACACACACACACATTGTTGCTTAGTTGTGCCATAAGTGATGTGTGTGGTATACAACTATCGTTAAATTTTAGATTTTGAAAAGTGAGTTTTGACTTTTCATCCCTCTTTTCTCTAAATTTTTTATTACGTATTTATTGATTAAATAATTTTCTGCCTCCACTGTTTCATCTCATCTTCTTCTCTTTATATCTTTCATCTGTGTCTCTTCATTCTTCTTTGTTCTTCTCCACTGCTGCTGCTCAGAATCAAAACGAGTTTACTTCACAACTTGTGCGAGTTTAATGGTTTTGTAACCTACGACCCGACCTGAAATGCAACACGCCGACATGACAATGGTACATAGGATTGAGTGAGTTTATAAGTTGACTCGTGATTCTGCATACACGGGTTAAAACGTTAACTTTGCAGGTACATCCTCTTCTTTGTGCCAAAGAGCTGTTGGATTAAAATATCCAGCGTTAACCTTAGAGATTCGAAGGGCTTAACATCCCACCCGTGGGCGCTTAGTAAGCTAGGTGCAGCCCCTGAAAATGCTCGTACTATATGGAATTAAAGTTGCACATTGGCTACAAGAAATTTCTTTTAGCTCAATGGTAAGCGCTTGATCCTACAAGTGGTATTAGAGCATGGTCATGGGTTCGAATCCCCCCGGCTGACACTGGGGGGGGGAGATTGTTGGATTAAAATATCCAGCGTCAACCTTAGGGATTCGAAGGGCTTAACATCCCACTCATGGGCGCTTAGTAAACTAGGTGCAGCCCCTGAAAATGCTCATACTATATGGAATTAAAGTTGCACCTTGGCTACAAGCAATTGCTTTTAGCTCAATGGTAAGCGATTGATCCTACAAGAGCTTCTACAAAGACATTCATCAACATATCATCAATTTATTGTTTCACACTAGAATAGTGATACTATTAGTGGAAATTGTTTCTTAATTCTCACAAAATTCACATTGAACTCCTCTTATTTGCTTAGTTGTTCCACCATATCCATTCTCGTTACCCGATCAGAGCACCACAAATTATCTACATCAACAAACGTAGCTTCTAAATCAACTTGATTGGCTACTCATGCAACTGAAACTCGTGAAGATCCTTCTCCCTTTGTAGAGTGAGATCCGATTTTAGTAACATACTCGACCACCTCATCTCTCCAAATTCTGATTTCTACACTGTTTGACAATGAAACCTTCCAAGTCTTGCAATCGTTCCAACCTTTTCAACAAACAGTTCAAGTTCAAACATCGAAACAACTTTCAACGGGAACACAAACACCTAAACCAAAAATGTATAGAAAAATTCAACAACTTCAACCCACATTTGAGATATAGGGAATGAAAGAACTTATAACGACCATCTAGAACCTATTGTACTAACATAATACACACTTTTTGAATGAGTTACTTTTGCATATAGAGGGAAATCAACAACATGCTTCATCTCGAGCCGCTACACAACTAGAGGTACTACAATGTAGCAAACTTGGGGCCATGTAACACCCAAAATAATTAGATTGTTTATTTAATTATTTAATTAATTTATGATGAGTATTTGTGATATATTTGTGAATATATGCGATGTTTGCTGATTATGATGTGTGATGTGACGCCATGTGGGGTATTAGAGTAATTAAGTAATATTGAGTGTTTTAAATAATTTTAGATAATTAGAGTAATTATTTAGAATTATTTTAATTAGTGAAATAGAGATAATATAATGTGTAGAAATGATAAGGACGGAGTAATAATTGGTGAAGTGATAAGTGAGGGTAATATAGGAAGACCATAGAAAGGATCCAATGGATAAGTTTGACATAAGGGAAAATTGGGGTTTAGAAAGCTCATTATGTACGACCGTGTTTGGAGAAGAGACATAGAGCATAACTAGGGCATTGAAGAACTTAGAGGAATTCTGTAGAAGCGCGAAGGGAAGATCATTGTTAGCTATAATCAAAGGTAAATGGGGCTATCCTTGTTATTATGATTGATATAGGTTTTAAATGTATGTAGAATGTTTGGGGTTATTATGATGAATTTGATAACATGATAATTATGATGAATTTGGTGATAAATTGATGTTGTAATGCTGTGAAATGATGTATATGAAGCTTACTATGATGTGTTATTATGATGTTGTGAAACCATGATGACATTATGTGATTTGTATGAGTTTTGAGTTTGTTTGGATGTGAGATCGTGTGGAAATTGGGACTGGTGCAGTGCAGAAAATGAACAGAGAATTTCCTGTTCACATTGTATCATCGGGAAAGCCTTATGCTTTGTCGGGCGAGGGAGCTTCTCCCAAGCACCGCCAGGCGAGCAAGAGGCGAAGGTAAGGGGTGAAAAACAAGGCCCCTGGAAATTGTATGGGAGAAGTGGACTCGCTCCAGCTTCGTCGGGAAAAGTAGAGGCGAGATGATCTCGTCGAGCGAGTGATCAGCTTCTTCGGGCGAAGGAGGCAAAAAGGAAAATGCATGCTCCTGGAATTTTGTATGAGGAAGGGCGTTTCTCCTCGGGCGAAGGGCAGATGGCATAATCTTCAAAGTGTCGTAACTTGAGTTTCCAAACTTTGTTTGTCGTGTTGTTCGAAGCGCTGGGTAGTTGATGCAATAAACTATAATTAGGCAAAATAAGATGAGTAAAATAATGTATATTTTCAGTATCAATGCTATGATGAAATTAGACTTCTCAGTGATGAATTACAATGACGTGTGTTGTATGATGAGTTGTTGATACTATGATGATACTATGATGATACTATATTGTTTATATGATGATATGATGTTGTTGTGATGATGCCATGCATATA